TTTAATTTTAAGAACAGAAAATCACAATCACAAACACAACTTAGTCTTACATGAAACAAAATATAAATGTTATTACTAACCTGTAAAGAGAAACAACATTAAAAGCTATTGCTTCAGATATTCACTCTTTAACAATGGTATTAATTGATATTATTTGAATTATTTCTAATGAACCTCGCTAAGGCTGCAATTGTAAAAAATCTCCATATTGAACATAGAGGAAAAAGTGCTGTCACCACAGATAATACTTTAAAGTATGTCTAGCCGCAGTATGCGCGGGAAATTCAAATTAAATGAAGTGTGAAAGGGCTTTATTTACATATATAAGTTTCTTATTTGTATTGCATATAAATCAAGGTTGAAATAATTAGAAGATTGGTACCATCGTACGGACAAGGCCAAAGATATTCAATGTATAGCCAAAGTAACTGAAGTCACGAGAATTAATATTGTCACGGTAACTGTAGTTTTATTGAAAATTGGCGCAGTGTAGATGGCGCTGCTATCGAGTTGGAGGACATAGAAATAAAGAAAAAAAGAAAGAAACAAAAACACTTTGTATGCACTGTGGATTTTAAAAGATAAAAAAATCACAACGCACTAAATGACCAGCAATCAGTATAATGTTGTGTACTAATATAATAATACTAGCTACCCTCGCGCGGTTTCACCCGCTGCTCGGATTCATTTAACCCTAGCGTGATGTTTTGTTGCCTATAGCACTCAGGAACATTGTAGCTATCTATCAGTGAAAGAATTTTGGCAATCCGACCAGTGGTTCCAAAGATAAACCCCTACATACAAACTTACAAATTTTACCTCTTTATAATATTATGTATGTAGTAATAATAGTATATAGTATAGATTACGTCCATAATTTTATTGAGCATCGAGTTTACGGTTTCATCACGATTCTGCTTAATTCACGAGTGATTTGTGAATGGGTTTTCAGGCCGGATAAGCCCGGTGCTTATCATATTTTTAAACGGTATATCGGCAAACGAGCACGACAAAAATCCGTAACACCAGAGAAGTTACAAGTGCGATGCGGGTTTTGGAGATTAGGGGATTGAGAAGGGAGGGAAAGGGAACCACGGAGGAGTTACGAGTACGTTGTCCTCATGTTTAGTAGGCTAACGACTCTTAGGCTTAAGCTCTGCCAGGTTTGCTTGGCTAGCACAATGAGGAACCGCGGCCTCGGCCTAGACTAAAGTAGGAGCAGAAACGGGGGGATGGTTTTAGTCAGTAAGAGTCTGACATTCCTTCTCGCCTCACCCGTGGCGAGAGAACTCATTGTATGAATTTCCCCTTCTCCCAAAAGCCTCAAATAAAATGTGTTGAAATTCTGTATCTATCTTCAAAGACTGTATTTGTGACTCGTCTGGAGTTGCGTGGGTGGCGCATATTGCTTACCATCAGGTGATATTTTTTTCTCTCCAGCCCACGGAAGGCGAGAGAGAGTATCAGACTCTTACTGACTAAAAACTCCCCCCGTTCCTTCTCTTGCTCTGGCCCGAGGTCGCGGTGCCTCATTGCGCTTACCCCGCAACCCCGGCCAAACATCAGCCTTATAGAGGCCCGTCTGTGGTGGTCTATTGGCTCTTAGAGGCGCGCGCAGAACGCTATGCGCCGTCCGCTCGGATCTGCATGTGTTAGTTTGCTGTCCTATACAATAAAAACCTACGCAACGTAGAATCCAGAGATTGACTTTGTCAGTCTTGTCTCGTGTTTCACCTTGGCCTGAATTCTCGTCCGTAATGAATTTTACCGAAAGTATCAGTTGCAAACCGAATACTTTTATCTTTTTTCGAAATTATTGCGTTTGTCGTCCAGACAGAATCATAACAATTATTTGTTTCTTTTTATAAGGTTTCTTACCCTTTAACATTAATTGGCCTGTTTTAGTACCTATTATAATTTAAATTTTACCCTTTTTTCTCATTTTTTTAAGATTTTTTATTGTTATTTTGTTATATTTTTTTGTTGTTTTTGGCATTCATGCATTTTGCCGAATAAATATTTTTCATTTCATTTACCCTACCCTACTAATGTTTTCCCCTGTGTCGTGTGTGCGTTTACTAACAAAGTCACACACAAATTACCCAGATCCGAAACAACAATTTGTAAATCACACAAAGTTTTGTTCCGATCGGAATTTTTAATCCGCTCGACATGTAGGTACTCGAATTAAATTAATGAAGTACGTATCTAAGTTTTTTTATATTCTGAAAATGTTTAACGCATTAGTAACTGGCCACTTCCAGAGCAAGGAATGTCTGTTTCATATCCCAGGTCGGAGAAAATATTTTTGGCATCGGGTTATTCGAAAATCTTCCATACTGGATCTTGAAATCCACCCAAAGTATGACAATAGGTTCATTTTCTACTAAATATTCTTTAGAGAATGAAACAGCAAGACTTTATGTGTTTCTTTCTCTTTCTAACCAATTTCAGCCATTACAAAACATTCTAAATTCGCTTCCACTTTTCATCGTACCTCGAACTTGGTGTTGAACACATAGGTACATTAATCGATTGATTAAATTCCTTACTTACATACAACATATAGAAGTTATCGATCCTCCGAAATTGAGGTTCATCGCATTCAATTTCGAAATTAGACCTTATTTTGTTCTTTTATGGGCGGTTCTCCCTAAGCAATGATTGGTTAGTTAACCGCACGTACATATATTGTCTTAACAATTAACTCTCGAGGTTTGTCGGCTGTCTGGACTTTGACGTCATAGGGGATTACGCGCGCCTCAAAGAGCCAATAAACCACCACAGACGGGGTCCTATAGGGCTCTGATGTTCAGCCTTCAGCCGGTGTTGCGTTGGTTTAAAGCAGGAGTAGGAAGGGGGGGGGGGGTTTAGTCAGTAAGAGTCTGACACTCCCTTTCGCCTCACACAGGAGGGACTTGTCGAACTTAAACGGTTTTTTAAAATGTACATTAATTAGTGATTTGTAAAAAGAGAAAGGGGGGTTACCTATCATCTATCTATCGTAAATGAGTTGTGATACTTATTTTATTTGACAAATTTGGGGATCGCTTTTTCTTTTCGTGGCAACGTTTTGGTACCGTGGTGGCCCAGAGCTTAAGGCCCACGCTTTTTATGAAACCTGGCAAACACCAATGTGACTTTTCCAAGTTGTACTTTTTGTCGTTATTTAGACACAACTGTCTCACGATGAAGGAAAACTTCGCGAGGAAACCTGGACTTAAAATTACTAAATGTAAATTTGAAATAGCCAATCCGCCAAGCAAGCGCAAGAGCAAGCGTGGTGATTATACCTTCTGCGTGTGAGAAGAAGCTTTGGCTACAGTGGGCACCTATAGGCTGATGATGATGAAATTGTCAATACATTTGACTAGCTTTTTCTAGTTCTAAAAAGGGCTAGTGCTATTTGTCTAGTTCTAAAAAGGGGTAGTGTTCAGTGAAGCATAGCATTGTATGCCCAAGATAAGCACTATTTACCAATGCCCCTATTGTATGGGGCAAACCGTTATATTATGTGTAGCACTTAGTAGTAAGCGATTGTACTTTTTGTGTTTCTTTATTATTTATTAATACATACACCGATTACATAAATGAGGACAATTTTAAAAGTATTCACTACTAGGTATTTCTAAGTAAACTTTGTTTAATTCATTTGAAAGTACCTCTTGCCCTTCTACCTATTCACACCTTCGATGGGTTGGAGATCTAGTTTAATAGGGCCAGGTTTAATATAGATTGTTTTGGGTAAGCTCAGCTCATCTTAAATATCGTAAAGTTCCTTATTAACGTTAATTTTTAAGTGTGGGACCGTCATGCTTCGGCACGAATGGGTCATCTCGATCGGAATGATACCACGGCCTCACAGAAAACCGTCGTGAAACAACCACAACGTTGTGTTTCGCCGTGTGAGTGAGGTTACCGGAGGCCCAATCCTTCCCCTCCCCCAATCCCTAAATCTCCTTTTCCCCAAAGGGCCGGCAACGCTTTTTTAACTCCTCTATTGTTGAGTAATCCGTGATCCGTGTGCTCGTTTGCCGACTTAGAACATAAAAAAAATGTTGTAATGTTAATTCTTAGTCTTCAATAGAAAGCAACATCTTCGTATAAACATCCCAGTAACATCGTCTTACGTCTGCTCCGAGTTGGCAACACGCCCAAATAATGTCACACGCGAAACGTGGAAATTGTTGGCATTTTTTATGTTACCTAATTGACCCTGCTAGCTTTGTTTGAATTTGAATCATACCTAATTATTTATCTGTGTGACATAAAAAGGTTTTATTGGGCTGCTATTTTTGATTTTGATGATGATGTTGTGATGATGATGATGATGATGATGATGATGATGACGATGATGATGATGATGATGATGATGATGATGATTCATCCATCATAGAAAGTACATATAACTCGGACTTGCTTCTTAACACGTTAAGCGCCATGGGGGTCACCGGTGACCACCGTTAGCGGAGGATTTGCCTTCAACAGTTTTCTGTCGGCAGTCAAAGGCTTAACAGGGCCTCGAGTCTGCTATTCACTTCGCTATTCGCTGTCAGAATAGTAGATCATTGGTTTAAAAATTGGTGATTTTGACAAGTTTGGTAATCTACTAACACGATAGCGTCAATAAGATTTTCTAATGCCACTTCATTGAAATAATAATCTTAAGAACGGTAATCTCGTCGGAACGTACATAATGACAAACGAATATTTGACATAATTCGGTAAATTAATAAAAAAATGACAGTTCCTTTATTCAATGATTTACGTTTAGAATATTAATGTGCAGTTATTGTTTATAATTCGTTACAAGACATCTGGTACTATAATTCTATTACGACATCGCCGAACGCCAATGATCAGCCATTTTGAATTATAAGATTACGAACTTTTAGCAAAATGACAATGGTATCGTGTAGGAATGACAGGCCCCTGGTTATGAGCCTGCTGAACATACAGCTTGAAATACAACTTTCTAAAAAGTATTTTATTTGTTCCAGGTTGATTTGTATAGGGAGATCACATTCCGTAACTCCGGACAGACGTACAAGGGTGTTCCTGTCATGGCTAGCAATATGGACACCGTAGGCACGTTTGAAATGGCACGGGAACTCTCTAAGGTAAGAATAAGTTTTTTTCGCGCTTACCTGATGTCGTCTCTGGTGAGTTAAGTCATCTTATACATCTATACTAATATTATAAAGAGGTAAAATTTGTAAGTTTGTATGTAGGGGTAATCTTTGGAACCGCTGGTCGGATTGCCAAAATTCTTTCAGTGATAGATAGCTAGTATTTTCTCGAGTTCTATAGGCTATAAAACATCAAGTGGAGCCGAGCAGCGGGTGAAACCGCGTGAGATTAGCTAGTATTATTATATTTCTACAGACAAAATTTTGTGCTGGTATGATTTGGTTGTTTATGCACCTTTGAAAAGTAAACTTTAGAGGAAACAAACTAACTTTACGGTGTTTATTTTTGGGCATCAAATGAAGATAATAAAGTATGATCTCCATACTCCAAATCAAAAATCCTCAATTTTTGCCATCCCTAAAAAGTCAGCAGCGCACTTGTTATTTTAATGTTGCTAAATATTCATAGGCGACGGCGATTTTTTTAGTATCAAGTTATCTGTCAGCTCGTTTACCACACTTTGGCCAGAATAAAGTCTTGAGTGCAACCACTGTACATATAATATCGTAAAAAGACAAGGAAAATTTCTAAAAGGACTTTTTAATACAGATGCTCAAAAAGTGGCGTATTGCAGGAACGTGTAGCGTTCGGGATTTGGGCTATTTCACACTCGTGCTATTTTTTTACCTTCCCCGAACTCGTGGATTTTCTTTCCCAACTATCAAAATAATTTCTATTAAAAAAAACAACCAGGAAGTTTTAACTAAAAAAAAAATTGAAGTTTTTGCGATTCATGCAAATAGGTTTATTTGTTTCTAAAAAGAAGCTACCTTTACTAATTTGTCCAATATCAGAATTAAATATTTGATTGAATGACTTGGTAAGGTTTCAGTTCATTTCATATCATTTAATTTCAATTTCATTTCTTATAATAAAAAATACTAAGTACTAAAGACTTGGCTGTATGGGCAGTTCCCTTTGTCGACTAGAATGGGTGAAAAAAACTGCTTACATTCTACTGTTGGCTCCATTTTAAGAATAAATAATAATAATTATAATAATTCAGTTTATTTCATCTCCACAAATTACAACAAGTTATAGAGTTGAAATGATTGATTAGAAATGATTAGTTGAGTTTAGTGTTTTTATAATTTGATTAAATTGCTTAACTTTTTCGCAACTGTATAAAAAATAGTCGTTCAGTACACGTACATAACGGTCATAGCAACTCGTTCCGACTGTCTACCATAGCCTACGACTCGGGTAGACATTTGTCGGAACTCTTTGCAATGACAGCCTTTCCGTACTATATAGTAATGAAATATAAAATCAAGTCGCTAGATGGCGTGCACTAGCTAGCATTGCTAATTGTTGTGGTCCATGTAAAATTAGTTAAATAATAGTTTTATTTGGACAATGTGATAAATGTAAAGTGAAGCAGAACTTACAAACCAGCTGTGAAAGTGTTATTGAGTAATTTCGCTGAGTAATTAATAATCTAGCTCAGTGATTTACGAAAAATAAAAAACTGACTATTGTAGCAAAAAAAGTGAAAATAAGTGAAAATTAAACTGGTATTAACATTTCATATGCTATAACTAAATAAAGTAACCCCTAAAACATCTTTTTAATACAGTGATTTGCGAAAAAATACAAAAAGGAACACTACGAATTCCGTTTTTTATTTAAAATATTGTAAATGTTGATAACAGCACCATCTAATAGTGAGTGGCAAAAGTAAAACGATCAATGTTACTAGACTTATCATAGTGTTACAAGGCATAAAAAGTGAATAACAACATAATTATTATGGACAACGACATCTAGTAGCGAATAGAAACCATTTTAGTCGCTTCTCTGTGTTACCATACTAATATCAGTGTTGACACTCCAAATAATTTTTTTCTAAAAAAAAAAACTTGGTAGTTTTTTTTTTGTTAACACTGGAATAACAATAAAAAAAAACATGATTTTTTTGGAAAACATAACATTCCGACGTCGTCGAAGCAAAGGATCGGAATCTAACCAGGACGACAGCAATAACACGTCTCAAACCCTAAATTATACCACAAATAGTATGCCAGAAATGTCTGAAGATGATGAGACCCATGAAATTAAAAAATTACAAGATAAGATTGATGAATTAACGTCTCAACTAAATAATGCTAACAAGAAAGTTGAGATATTATGTTTGGAAATCAGCAGTTTGAAAGAAAAGAATCAAGAATTATCGAAAAAAAAACGATTCTTATGTTCAAAAGGCTACTTCTTCACACCAACAACAGTCAACACTATCCAAGAGAGCTCATTCAAGACAAAACAAGTTAACAAAAACTAATAGAAATATTGGCAATATTATTTTACATCAAGACAGCAGAACAGAAAACAAAGACGTCACTCTTACTTCTTCTCATAATAGAATATTGAATAATGTTATTAAACCTCATCAACATGATGCTTCTATAAAACATAAATTATGTATCCTCAGTGGTGAAAAAAGCAGTAGAATATGTAAACTAATAGATAATAATTACTCTTGTTCAAGAAATAATTATGAAATATGTCACTATCGTAAGCCGAATTGTAATTTAGAAATAATACTAGACAATATAGATAAAAAAGTTCAGAACTTTACCAAATCAGATTTCTGTGTTATCTGTATAGGAGATGAAGATTTTAAAAGAACTCAAAATTACATTGAACTTGTTGTACTTATTCGTAAAAAATTGTTACCCTTAACTCATACAAATTTTATAATATGCCTACCTACTTATAAATATATGAACAATGTTAATGTGATGTTCAACAGCCGAGTTGAAACTTTTAATAACTTACTGTATATGGATGTAGAAACTTGTAATTATGCATACGTTTTAGATTCTAACCTTAATTTGCCATACACTTATGATACATATAACCCTCATTATGGGACACTAAATAATAAAGGTTTACAAATTATTATATTAGACATACTGGACATGATCTCGTATTATAGCACTAAGAACTTCACTACTAATATGACTAGTGGCTCTGAAGTTGATTGTTCCCAGGGAGAGATAACTGGTTTAGACTCACAAAATACCTGCTAATGCTGGTCCTACTCCACAGGATGTTTAGAGTATTTTTTTTTGATTTTAATTATTAAATTGTACACTATGTTGTTAATTGTTGATGAACTTCTAAGATTTTGTAAATGTGAGTGCCCTGTAACCTATTATAATTAAGTAAGACTTGTAGAATATAGGTACTTGTGTCGGCTGGGAGCTGTCATGCTCACTCAGAGGTCTCATTGGCGATGGCACGGGCACTGGATCGTCCAATCCCCTATAATATGGTTGAGTTGGGCGGTGCTGGTGTACGTGTCATGTTCGTGAACGGGCGCCGCCTATTGGGACTGGTCATCTCCACGCTGTCTAAATATGTTGTCCTTGAGGTTCACTTCTTTTTCGTACTTTTTGCCTGAACATTAGTGTTACATTGTTCTCACATATCAGAACCGACTAAATGATGTAACAAAGAAATGTATTGTAAAACTGATTGAAAAAGAGTAACCATGGAGTTTCTTGCTCGTTCTTCTCCATAGGAATCTACACTTTGGAACGAGCAAATAGCTTCACTAGAGGACAGACGGACAGACTGACACGCTTAATTTTAAAGCTCTTGTTATATACTTTTTTCCTTTTTTGCTTGCTTGACGTTCAAAAGTGCCTACTGTGGTCTAATTGAAATAAATGATTTTTGACTTTGACTTTGACCTCTCAGTTTTTTCTGTAAATACCTAAATATACTACACCAAAATATAGCGGGACTCATGAACAAATCAGATACATTAACAGTTAAATTAGATGAGCTTCACAATTCAGGAACAAATGTTGATGTAATTTGTATAACAGAACATTTTATTGAGTCAGGTTATGAAAATTTGTTGCATATACCAAATTTTTTACCAGCGGCTTTCTTTTCTAGAAAGGCTAAGCGCGGGGGTACGTGTATTCTTGTGAGGGCAGGCCTTCAATTTAGAGAAATTCCAGAAGTGGCAAAACAGTCAGAGTCATGTGTCTTCGAAGCCTGCGCTATTGAACTAATTCATCACAAGATTGTTATTATTTGTATATATCGCATACCAAAAAATAATTACAATATATTTTACGATAAATTAGAATATATCATAAGAAAAGTTGGTTTAAATTCTAAGAAAAATATCATCTTAACTGGTGACTTTAACATTGATATTTTAAAAAGAAATAAAATTTCACTCGAATTTGAACATTTTCTGACCCAATTTAATCTTAAATTAGCCCTTCACAAACCTACTAGATTAAGCAGCAACTCGTGTATTGATAACTTTGCACACACATACAAAAAAGATTGTAAAGCACAAATAATAGACTTAATTTTATCAGATCACACGTCTCAAATATTAAGTGTACCCATTCATAAAATATGTAAACTTAAATATTGGAAAACTCAAAAACAAGACATATCTCTAGAAAATTTAAAGAAGTTTAAAAACTATTTGAACAATTTATCTTTCGCGCTAGTATACAGCGAGAATGATGTTAATAAATCATATGATTCTTTTGCAGAAGATTTCTTGATGCTGTATAAATTATGTTTTCCAACTAAAAGTATAACAATAAAAACAAATACTAGAACCAAATGGCTATCTCGCGGAATTAAAGTCTGTAGTCAGAAACAAAGAAAATTACTTTGGTCTTATAGATTAAACCCTAACAGTGAAAATAAAACTGAATTTAAGAATTATACCAAAATTTACAAAAAAATTATTCGACTGACACAAACAACTCAAAATAACTACTTCATAAACACTTCCCAGAATAAATCTAAAGCTGCATGGCAAGTAATAAACAAATGTAAATATCGCCTACCCAAACAGCTAATCCCCGCCATAAAAAGTGATAATTGCACTATAACAAACCCAAAGAATATCGCAAATGAATTTAATAACTTCTTTGTAGATGTAATCGAA